GGACAGTGTCAACACTGGAACAACGTGTCTCTTCAGACGGGCTGATTGTGTTTGTCTTTCCAGCGCCTCTCAACTTCGAGCGCAAACAACGACGCGCCAAAGTTTTAGACTTGTTTGGCCGTAGCTAAGTATATTTTAATTCAAGAATGGATTAGCATGCACATCATAACAGAGTTTTAGCCGAAAACTTTATGCCACCCGGGGGGTTGACGAATCCATTATTCATTGCTTATGCTTCAGTTGGGTTGAAACATTACCGACACCTTTTTCGAATGCAACCACTATCCCCCTATTCTAAATCTGCGCAAACTAGGATTGTGTTTGCACCTATAGGAATGTTGGGTTGTTTGAAATATGTGAAACTGTTTTGGGTTTCTAAATTTCGGAATTTCTCAGTAAGTGTCCCAGGCAATGAAGTCAAATAGACAAAATCCAAAGGCCTTCTATTAAGCGCATTTTCGATCTGTCTTCAAAGAACATCTGAGTTATAAATTGAAACGGAACAGGGCAGAGCCAGTTTCGTTCCAAGGGAAATTTGGTTTCATCTATTATTCCTGATACGGCGAAAAGCAGACGGCAGCGGAATTAAACTTCCCATCATTTTTTCATGCATCATTCAGACATCGTTTGCAATGGAGTAAGTTTCAGATGAACACAGACGACTGCACATGCAGGGTCGACTTTTACTCAAAGCCGGAAATTACTCAAACGCTCTTTCACAAATCATCGTTTTTCATCGGCTTCGACCATTCCTTTTCTCTGAATAAAATATACCTGCCGTTACATCAGACCACGGAGCGGGCGGAGATAATAGTTGTAAAAGTTATATCGCAACTTCCCTCTATTAGTTTTATGCCCAGCGTGCGAAATGGCAGATACTGAACAAACCGGAGCTCATAATATATCTTAAATAACTCTCTGTATTTCCTATTGTGTAAGTTTTTGCTTTATTGCGACCATTATTATGAAGGGAATGCCATTTAAATTGCGTCGGTAGCAACACTTGAACATATTTTAGCAGCTAAGCGGCCTAAATGATGGCGTTTTGTTCTGGGCACAGGTGGAGAATGTAGCAATGTTTCATGTGATGCATTTGTTTTGGTACCAAGAATGGCCGCTCAAGTACAAATTGAATCGGAACTCTTATTAAAAATGGAACTCTAAACACGGAAAATGTCACATAACGAGAACAGCAGAAGAACATCCAAAGGTTCTATAGGTCAACCAGGTTCTATTCCTAGCATTCTCCTCAATTTATAAGTAGACAAAGAACAGCAACATTTACTAAAGGCGCTAGCAAAAGTAAGAACACTGTTATCGCGTATAAACTAGAAGTAAGTGTAATAAACGGTTATTTTTCTTTAACGGGTTACAATGTTCCAGTTTTGCGTTGGTAATAGGTTCCAAAATGCGGTTCCAACAGGAACATGTTCCTTTCTAATTTTTTCATTCAAAATGGGCATAGATGAGTAGAAATAGTGATGTTATATAATTATTTAGCATTAAAAAATATATTCTTAATATTGGAAAACTTTAAATAAAATTAATGTGAAGGTGAACAATGATGAAAAACTGAAAAAGAGTCACTGCTTGGTGTGCATTGTGGACATCATCGGACCATTTTTCTTCGAAAATGCAGTTGGCCAAGCACTAACCGTACCGATGTTTGCGAAACATCGATGTTTTTCTCCCATCCCTAATCCAAACACTCTAGAATGTATGTATGTAAATTTCTGAAGACATTATTTTGATATAAAATTTTAATATTCGTATAGTTGATCTATGCTGCCTTGCTAAGACAGGAAGTCGTATCTGCAAAACGCAAGTTTTGAGATATTAAGCAATTTGTAAATTATTACATGCAATCTTCGCTTATTTGCAAAACTGTTCTTTCTAAGATCTCAATGTGAACTTCACGTTAATAAACTTACACTAGAAATCTTAAGGTTGTAAATTTTGGGATTTGATAACAAAATTGACTTTTGTTAGTTACGACTTTTTGCGTTAGTATTCTCATACGATTAAGGTATAGACATACTAAGTAGTTTGGCAGTATAGTACTCATAGTTTAGCAAATAACGTAAGAGAAACAACGCAAACTTTGTAAGAAAAACATATATTAATTAAAAATAATACATTATCTAATACTAGTCACTTTCAATGTAATTTCCGTCGTTCACTGGCAGATCGTGCCAAAAAGATAGTCGATTTGCCGGAACTTTGAAATTTGTCTCGTCATTTTTGCAGCAATTTGGCTTTCCTGTCCTTGTCAATTCCTTTAGGGGCCAATCTGATCACAGGTTTTGGTAGGTCATTTTTATATTGCTTGGCCAATAGAAAGTTGAGTTTAATCAATGGTCCACTAAATTTGGTTTTATAAAAAAGGTTTTTAGAGCCCCTTTTAAATTGAACCTCAGCAAAATTTTCTAAATAAGGTTTAGGTGTAATTTTGTTCATTTTGAATCTTGAAGAATAGTCAATAAAATCATTAAGGCTCATCTATTTGATTTTCTAACACATATTTGAAAATCCTCGAAATCTAATACTTTTCCTGTTTGTTTTAAAGACTTTTCCACTTGGAAAGAGTCAGCGGATATGAAAGTGTGGCCAGCTTGTAAATATTTTAATTTTAATAAACTTAGATTTACTTCTAACGCGTTAATAATAAAAACAAAAAAGCAATACAAGGCCCAATTCATGTTTTGCGAAGCGCAGTTATCTAGCCAAATTGTTATTTCTTTAACATCACGGTGAAACAACAGGAATTTGTAAAAGGGTGATATTAGATCAGATTTGCTTCTTCCAGCCACGCCTTCATGCCAAACAATAGCCACTGGCTTATTTGCAAGGGATTGCTTTCCCAGAGGAACAAAGATTTCGTTAAAACAAATTATTCTTGGTGTAAAAATGATTTCTTTAAACATTTCACAGCGTGGTATCATTATTACCTATAAGAAAGATTTTAATTAAATTCGCTTTATTATACTTGTGATATAATAACTAGCTTTTGCAAGCCTGCAGAAACAAATAATGATTCAGATCCTGCTTTTGTAGATACGTCGTTTTTATATTCAGTTCTCGCTTCTATGGCCTTTTCATAGTGACTTTTCCATTTTTGAGGTTTATGGAGTTTTTAGAGTGAAGGTTGAATGCTTCGCATTCAACATGCAATGTTCTGCATGCATTAATTTAATGTTAATATCACTGGGCAGATATTTTCGATTTGGGGCGTGTTCCCTTCTAGAATGCGATATGCTTGGATTGAAAGAATTAATATGACAAACTACGTGTTCTCTGCGAATTTTTTTCTCAGATGGATGCCCTGTCTTTAATGGTTTGACAAACATACATTTTGAATCAGTTTGATTCAAAACATCTCTAACTATTCTATCGTTATGGACTTGATAGCCCAAAACTGCCAAAAAAAATTTCTTGCAAACTCTTACATCATTCCCTGTATTAGCTTAGAAGTAGTAGTTAATTGTATTACTTCGCCTGGAGTCTCCATCTTTAGTTTTTCTTTTTTTATCGATTTTTTTTAATGTGGTAAAAATAAATTGACGCTGTTGTTATATATGCTATTTATAGCATTTTGTCTCCATATGTCAATTTCTTCGGTACATTTTTTTGCACAATTTTCCTTACATGTTTCTTGCACGTCATGCTGGGCAATTTTTTCCTCCCTTTTCAGTTCCTTTCTGTCCTGTAATGATTTGCTGTGACTTTTTGTACTTTTCCTTGTTTAGTGAAGTTTCGTGATTGATTTTATTCACCGGTTTTCAAAGCATTTTCTATGATAATGTTCAATAAATCTCCAATGAATTCTGCAGTCTTTTCACTTGCTGTCTCAGTTGGCAATTCAGCTCCACAGTAAAATCAGGATCGCGTGAGTTATCAATAGAATTTTTGTTTAGTTAACTCCTTGTTTAGGGCTAGTAAAACTAACATTTTAGATCTAGCAGACATCTAGAATTAAATAAAAAACACATAGCCTTAGAATAAACGGCACGGATAAAACACATTGAATAGTTAAATATAAGATACTTGCCCTGTTCTCTATATCAACAATTAAAATATAAACAACTTATATAACACTTTCGAAACTAACTTAACAAACACAACCACTAAAATAATCGCAGTGATAATATCAGTTAATAAACGAGCTCTAACCACATTTTCATATACGTCATACGGCAAAAAGACTCAATAATAATTATCAATATGACTTTTTGATCATTACGATTTAGTACAGATACTAAGCCCAAATGTCGTCGGTGGAATATTTTTAGGCAGATACGACAATATGACTTGGTAATTATCAATACGACTTTTTGACCTGGTGACTGGTAGATTTTTGCAGATAGGACATATAAATATCATTGAAAACCCTATGATGATGATGATGTATTCTAATGATGATACGACTTCCAGACCTTGTCTGGGAGGTAAAGCAAACTCTGTTATAGCATTATTCTGCATAAGCTGAAAAAGTGAAAAATTGCAGATACGACTTCTTGTCTTAGCAGGGCAGTATGGTATACCAAGATTTGTCCGTATACCTTCTGCCGATACTACCGAAAGTCAAGGCCCGACTGCTCTGACGTCACGAGTAGGCTGGCTCGGACTACTCTTACGGCGAAATGGTCCTCGTGACGTCAGAACAGTCTAGCCTCCTTTGGCTGACGTCACGAGCGGGCCCTCTTTGTTTCCATGGTATCGAGTATCGACACTACCCCAAATTGATGAGCGTACTTAGTAAGAATCGACCTTAAGGGTTAAGCCTAGTCGGAATCGTGGATACTTTGCAGGTGATTTGGTCCGCTTGCTTGAGAACTGCGTGAATTCCCGGATAACCTGTCTCTATCCGGCAACGGAGGTTTGATTGTCCCGACTGTCCCGACTGTCCCGAGCGACGGAAGCGCCGAGACGGCCCGAGTGACGTTCGGTGTTCCGTCTAGCTCACACCGACGACTCCCGACGCTGATCCGCGGGACGCGGTCCTTCTAACAAACGGAGCCGAACAGTTCGTGGCGGCCATCAGAAAGGCTCGGAAGCGCGTCGAATTAACACCCGGCAGCCATTTGTCAGCGCAGGATGACGGCCGGCAGAAAATTGATCAAATACTGACCAGAAATCACACCCCATCAGTTAAATGTCCATCTGAACGGCCAGATTCGAGCCGCATTGATTCTCGCGATCTGATTTTTCACAATCCCAGCAGGCTATGAACAGTTTTAGAGCAGCTACGGCGACAGGCGGCCGATCGAGAGTGCGGCGACAACGTCCTGGGACAGAGCGCGCTCTTTTCAAATGTTTGTTGTGTTGATGTGTCGACTTTCTCAGTCAGATCAGTGAGGCCGCGTCATCACATGCACAAACAGCAGACAGATAAAAGATAATGTACGTATCACTGTTTATTTACGAATGCGCCCACCGCCACTGCTAATTTTACTCATCTGCTACCCTCGACTCGACGCCACACTGTAGCCCACTACTCAAAACACCTGCGCAATGTCGGTACCCTTAATAATGTTTGCTCAGTTCACGCGCATAACCTCAAATCGATCGTCCTGTCGTTCTGTCGCGGTTTCGGTTACTGTGTATTGTAACACAGTAACCTGTTACAGCACTGTAACATCTGGAAATTTTCACTTGTACTTTATTTTCAATTTTACAGCATTTATTTTGAATTTTTCCAAAGCCGTCCACATTGTTCAGAGAGCTTTCTAACGTCGATGCCGCACTTGCTTATATACAGGGTGATTCAAAATTGGCGTCATTCCTCTGGAGGTGTTGACTAAGAAATACTAAAATCAATTAACTGTCATTAAAAACTGAGAAATTTGCAAAAACTATGTCAGAAATACGGCAGCAATGTTTTTCAACGCAGTCTGCCTAATTAGCATTGCGCAAATACCCGTGGCTTCGTCATTATTTAAAACTCCGGTAACCATGGATTTATACACACTGGCAATAAGATAGACAAGGATAAACCTCGAATATGGGTGTTTATAAATAAACCCTAC